ATCTGGATTTATATCAGCTTCTGTTTTTTGCAGATGTCAAAACTTATTGAATAGTTGAATAGGAAGCAAATGGATTCATGGAGGATTTATTCCTGATGTAACCGTGTTTTTATTGCTCCTGTCTCTCTTGTTGGTCTGTAGGACTTCCGCTTCTCAGTTAATGCTGCTGCCTTGATGTTTAAATGGTCCTCTCCCTGCTGGGCCCTTTTTCCTCTGCGAAAGCCTGTAACACAAACCCTAAGATGGGTGTGTTGTTGTTATTGTAAGAGAGAACCCTGTGGTTCTTTGCTTTTGGCCTTCTGGCTGGTTTTGGACTTCTACTCCCAGAATCCTTTGCTTTTTGACCATCTTTGCTGGGGGTTTCTGGGAAGTGAAGTCCAAAACATCTGGAGGATGGAGCTTCCAGATGTTTTAAGTAGATGGATCTGGGCAAGTCTTGGCACTCAATTGGTGCTGGTTGGATTTCCATCATGAGCCCCAGTCAAAAAAATATTTTAACATTTCCTTGTTTATATTTTGTATGTCAGCTGATCTTCAGCTTCTTAAAAATGGCAGTGAGTGCCAAACTAGCATATTGTTAAAAATAAAAACACAAGCTGTTATAACTCTTCTTCCTGTAGTGCTGGTATACTCTGTATAAAAATGTTTTCTTCTCTCCCCCTTTTTATTCTTGCTTGTGGGAGGTGCTAAGCAGCAAAGAGGAAAGCTCATTTATCTGCCCTCCATGAGAAGTAAAAAGCTCCGTGGTTTGGATCTCTGGCTGTGGAGCCAGAGGTTGGGAGTTTGATACTGCACTGTGCCTCCTGAGGAGTAGAGCCGGCCTGGGTGGCCTTGGGCCAGCTGCACACAGTCCCTGGATATCCTCCAAAAAAGGGAATGGGAAACCACTTCTGAGTACTCTTTTCCTGGAAAACCATGAAAACAGACGCCATAAGTCAGGATTGACTTGACGGCACACGTTTATTATTATTTATTAGTAGAAGCTATCTCTTAACTGTAGGGACGTGGTGGCGCTGCGGGTTAAACTGCAGAAGCCTCTGTGCTGCAAGGTCGGAAGACCAGCCGTCGCAAGATCGAATCCATGCGACGGAGGGAGCTCCCATCGCTTGTCCCAGCTCCTGCCAACCTAGCCGTTCGAAAGCATGTAAAAATGCGAGTCGATAAATAGGTACCACCTCGGTGGGAAGGTCACAGCGTTCTGTGTCTAATTGCACTGGCCACGTGACCATGGAAACAGTCTCTGGACAAATGCTGGCTCTATGGCTTGGAAACGGGGATGAGCACTGCGCCCTAAAGTCGGACACGACTGGACTAAATGTCAAGGGGAACCTTTACCTATCTCTTAACTCGGTTGATTGGTTAAGCCCTAGATGTGTGAAAACTGTGTTTCATGGGCTTCTTCTTCTTCTTCTTTTTATACTTGTCTCTCCAGAGGGAGCTTGGAGGGGAAGCGAGAGCAGAAGAGCTACAAAGCGGTGCTGGAGAACCCCATGCTGAGGTTCTCAGGATTGTACCAGGAGACCTGCTCGGACTTGTACGTGACCTGCCAGGTGTTTGCCGAGGGAAAGCCTCTGGCGCTTCCCGTGAGGACATCCTACAAAGCTTTCAGCACCAGGTGGAAGTAAGTCCTCTCCATCTTAAGGTACAAACAGCGGCCATGCCTTCGGGGCCACCCGTTGCGGATCTATGAAGACATCCCTCTTGTCTGCTTTCTGATCCTGTCCTCTCCATCCCCAGTCTGCTTCTTGTCTGCACCCCAAACTAAAAAGAGCTATATGGACAGGGGTGTTTTTATCTTTTTCTGCTTGAGTGCTTGGGAAGGATTTCCTTGTGTGAACAGAATTTGTTTTCTAACTCTCCTCACATGGAGGACATATCATTTTGAGCAATCTTCTTCATCTTAGATTTATTTATTTATTTATTTATTTATTTATTTATTTATTTATTTATTTATTTATTTATTTATTTATTTAACTTATATGCCGCCCACACTACCTGAAGGTCTCTGAGCGGCTTACAGCATTTAAAATACAATAAAAGGGCAAAATAAAAGGGCAAAATAATTAAAATGCAATTAAAATATATATTCTAAAAATTGCCATCAGACCCACA